GGGGCTCAGAACAACCTTTGCCTCTCCCCACCAGCTCAGAAGATTGAGTTTATTCTTTTAACAATAGTGATAGAAATGTAGCCATGTTAGTCTGGTGTAGCTGAAACAAAAAACAGGACTATCCATCTTGTTAGTCTTTAAAGTGCTACATAGTCCTGTTTTTTGTTTCTTTTAACAAGTGCAGCATAGTGCTCAGAATGTCTATAGGCCCAGAATCCATCGAAGCCAAAGACATCCTGCCATGTACAGCATAAGCAATGGCACCACAAGCCCCCTGATGACTTATCCCAACTTTGAGGAGCTACCTGCCAGCAAAAGGGGCTCGCTGAATTTCCATCTTCTCCCAGTTCTTGGCCTCTCTGCTGAGACTGCCAGTCTGTATGTGGGACCGTGTGGGTGGTATTTATGATGTGGAACTGCCTTTGCTGAGTTCCAAGAAGTTCGACGTTCAGCTTAAGATGCCACAAGCTCTTCACATTGTTACCACCTCCTCAGACCCATCCAGCTCCCTTTCTTCCTAATTTTCTTTGTAGCATATTAGCTTAAAAGACCAAAGGAAACTTACCTGCCAAAAACTGTCAAGGGTCTGAGTAGAAACCACAAAAAGCCTTAGCTAAAGGGGACACATGGGCTGTTCTTCTCCTCACCACAGAGATTATCATATTTCAGAGCATAAGCTGACCACTACAAAGTCCAGGAAGGAATACTTCATAATAAAAGCATATCATACGTGGGCTCTGATGCTGTAGAAATCCCATGCAGTCCAACCACAATATCAACACTCGGGTCAGGTGTGTGGTGGGTGACGCTGGCTGTGGGATAGCAGACATGCGTAATTGAATGTCACAACCCTATGTTCCTATGAAAACAATGATGTTTCTCATTGCATGCGTCCTGATGGTTAAATCTGGGGTGACCCTTTTTCCTTATGCTGAATATCTGACACTTAGTAAAATTACTTTCTTTCAAGCAAGTTCAATGGCAATCAGAACTATGAGGTGCAAATGTTCAAATGAACATCAAGGTCGCTGTGCCCCTGTTAAAAGGAACGACTGTGTAGTTGGATTCTTTTCATTATCTGTAAGGCTTTCGGGTTCACATGGGGATAGGGCACACAGACATATGTTCCCATACATCTCCCTCATCAGCGTGTGTGTGTGTGTGTGTGTGTGTGTGATTGACTCAACTCTCCCTGTCTGCTGCTCTCTGCCCTCCATGCCCAATTGGGACCCCAGGGACAGACCTGACACCCACAGTACCTGGCGCCCTGACTTCCTGAGACAACATCAGGGGTGGCAATCAGGGTCACATGTCCCTCCCCCAGATTTCTGCCAGGCTTCAGAGCAGAATGTGGCCAGCAGCGGCCTTTTGGCACTGAGCAGGAGGGAAGGGATAGGAAGGGAGCTGTTCCTAGCCACAGGGGAAAAGGAAACACATCCCTTCCTTCCCATGCAGTATCGAATGGCAGCTAATATCCCCAGACTGCTTCAGGCAACCAACATAGCCTATCTCCTTAAGCCCTAAAGATTCACAGTGTCACAGGGCCCAGGGAACCTGACTGCAGGAGTTTCAGAGGGGTTTCATGGAGCCTGGACAGAGCAGTGTCTCAGCAGGGGAGGTTGCCTAGGAGACAGAGCAGTTCCAGGATTCTGGGAGGTAGCAGGTGAAGAGGATGATAAATCCCTGTCCAGGGGACTTCTGTGGCATTTACAGGGTTGGGGAGGGAGGGGGAATCAGGCTGGAAATCACCTCCCTACCCCACTCCAGAGTTTAAATTAGGGGCAAAGAGTCTTTCCCAAGCCAGCACAGCAAGGGGCTTTGGCACAGGCAGGGCTTGGCTCCTCCTGGCCAGTCCTTTAGGCCAGAAGATCTCGGGCTTTCCTGGGACCCCAGCCCAGCAAAAGGCAGTGCAGGAAGGAAGGGGCCTGCTGGCCAGAATGTTGGTGAGCTCAGTGCACCAGCCAGGGATTGGTTCTTTGCAGAGCGTTGGGAGTGGGATGTACCCCACTGGGGGAGCAAGGCAGACTGGGGGGAAGTGAAGGGGAAAAGCAGAGGGGACAGAGAAAGGGAGCAAGTAAAGGGCTGATGGGTGGGCAGCAGAAGCGACATGTAACTTGGCTGCCACTGGTGCCTGCCTGTCATCATCAGCCATCTTAGCCCAGAGTGCACAGCCAATAGCAGCTGGAAACGGGATGGAGGGGGGTGGCCCTGCTGGCCCAGATCCAGCACACAAATGGGCTGCACCGATGGACCAGTAGGGGGAGTGCCTGGCCTTGTATGCTGCATTTTCGCCTTGCCACCAGCCTTGCACACCCACCCCTATCGCTGGTCCCTGGAGGTAAGCCCAAGAAGGGTGACTTGCTGTCTCTGCTCCAAAGTAATAGAGATGTAGTCGTGTTAGTCTGGTCTTGCTGAAACAAAAGACAAGACTATACAGCACTTTAAAGACTAACAAGATGGTTTATTAGGTGATGAGTGCTAATAAACCATCTTGTTAGTCTTTAAAGTGCAGCATAGTCCTGTCTTTTGTGTCTGCTCTAAAGGTGCAATGTGGCTTTTAGGATGCAACCACCGATTGCTTCATGTTGTGGTACCCACAGGGCCCGAGTTTGCCTTACCACAGCTTTGTCTATGACTGCAATGACTCATCAGGAAATGGCGGACAGATCTCCATTGCACCATATTTACTGACATCTGACCCGCAGAGCAGAGCAAAAACAGGGCAGACCAGCCAATGTTTGGTTCTGGTGTGCAAAGCTTTGGGCACATGGCCCTGCACACCTTGCTATTCCAATGAAAATTTATGTCCCTCTCAGACCATATGTAACTGCATCTGACAAACACATGCTAAAGGAAAAGCCAAAAGGTTTCCTATGACATTTCCAGGTTTTCTTTGATTCCACAGAGCCCATCAATAAGTGTTGATTAACATGGAGAATGACCTCAACATCACTTTGAACACGGGCCCTCTTTTGTTCAGCGGAAGGGGGGGAAAGGAAGAATATTTTTTCCGCCTCCCACAGATAACGATTAAAGATGTTTTTCAAGGTGCCATTTATTTAAAAATATCTTTTGATGTGAAGGTCATATCTAGTTGTGGCTATGACATTAATGACTTCAGTGATCTTACACCAGCAAAGAATTTGTCCCCACAGCTGTAGTTGGGGACCTATGTATCATTATCCAGATTGTGTCACTTAAAGGTTTAGTATGGATGCTTGGGAAATGTAGGTTTTCATTTCTGAGCCATCAGTTCTTACCAATTTAAGATGAGTAGCTCCCAAATGATATTAATGTTCATATGGATGTTTGGTTGTCTCCATTCATTTCCCAGAGAACTGGTGTCCACATCATGCAATAACGTCATTGAAACGGACAATACTCAGCAGGTGTGAATAGCCTGCTATGAATACACAGATACTTCTAACTGTAGGGCTTTCAATCCAACTCTTTTCATGAGGAACATGTAAAACTGTGTTAATAAGCCTCAACTAGTGCAAACTGAGGTAATTCCATTGACTTTCATGGAGTTGTGTGCTGGTTTTTGCCAGCTGAGGCTCCTGCCTAGTCATTTTACTGTTTCTCTGGAGAAATGGAGAAAGCCCTATAGCCAAGGCAAAACTAGGAAAGTTTCCAGTGAGGAGTGAAAATCAAAGGATTTTGTTAAGCATCCAAAAGTCTGGGTACTTGTCTGAAGTTATCCAAATGTTTCTCTTAAGGAAATTAGGCTGGAAATCTCATGAGAACAGATTTTCAAATATGATTTCCTGTTCTTTCCTTGTTCCAGATGGGTCACAGTGTCATCATCATATGTTATTGTCATGTATGGCCTTGCACTTTTTAATCCAGATACTATGACAGATGGGATAACCTATGGATAATAGTGACATTGGATTTAATCTTCGCAAAGCGGGCTTGTTTCTCATTTACATTGGCCTGATTCCAATTTCAGTGTCATTTTACAGTGAGTTCAGTGGAGTTACTCCTGCGTTAAACCAGTGTAGCAGAGACCAGAAACAGGCCCATTTTAGCAAGCAATGAGCAGAACTAGGACAAAGATCCTACACGTATTCTGCATGACACATGTGTGTGCTAAGCACAAGTTTTCCCACAACTAATGAGCAACTTTCTTTTGTTTTTTCTTTAAACAAACCTACAAATTTTGCTGCTCAGGGATGTTCTAGCTATTGTGGGCCTGATCTGATACATGCCAACTTTGTGGGGGCTGTAACACCATTGATGTCAATAGTTGGTTCTGCTTATTGGCATGGAAACAAGATTGCTGTGTCTATGGCTGTCTTTGCTGGTCCATCCCTACAACTTGCTTCGCTTTAGATTAAGGATTCAGCAACAATTGTGTGGCAGTTTTGTCTTGCAAGAATTCTGTTCCTCCCCCCCCCCCAACAGAGATCAGGGGCCTCCACAAAGCCAGACATTTTACAAACTGGTAGAAATAGATAGCCCTTGTCCTACAGAGTTAATTTAAGCAGATGAGATAAAAAGAGGGGAAAGAAAAGCAGAGAGAAATTATGGCACTTGCCAAATTTCCCACAGTAAATCAGTGTCAGAATAAAGAACAGAACTTAGGTCTGCTGCCTTCCAGACCTGTGCTGTTACCCAATAGACCTCACCGCTTCTCTTTCTTCCTATATTTCTTTCCATGGTATTTATTGAAGATTTGGTGCTGTCTGACAACAGAGCCACGTGTCATCTGTTTCTACAGTGTCTAACTTTGGGGAAAACAATTCAGTTCAATGAGTAGGATATGTATAACTTTAAACCTACAGAGCTTATAACAGGGGCATTTGAGTACAGCAGCTGGTATTTCTACTGTACATTTTCTCTTTTTGGTCAATTAAAAATAATATGAGGAATCCTATTGCCTGACTGGCCTAGAGATTTTCACTGAGGAACTAATATCATGTGAGTTTTTAACTTTACATTTGAAATGAATGTGGTTCAGAATGTCTCATGAAATTCTTCTTCTTGTCTCCCTACAGCTTGCAGAGGGAATCAATTTAGGCCAAGGGCTGGGCATTGAAATCATCGCCACCTTCCAGCTGGTGCTGTGTGTCCTGGCCACCACAGACAGGAGAAGAAATGATATCTCGGGATCAGCACCCCTGGCTATTGGGCTCTCTGTTGCCTTAGGGCATCTTCTTGCTGTAAGTTTTCACTCTCATTGTAGATACTTTGCCCTTTCCCACGGAATGGTACTTGGAAGGATTTTCTAAGTGCGAGCTTACTCTGTTCATAACCAGAAAGCCAGAAATTCCAGCCTGCCTACCAAAATACCTTTGCTTGCCATCACCCTATCTTCCCTTAAACAGCCATTATCTTGCTGGTCCATCACCCTGCAATGCTCACAAGCCCTGCCAATTGAAAACTGAATGGCTGATCTTTGCACCCACTGTGGCAAAGGCCCTTCTTACCCGTGCCAGATTCAGCCCTTCTCCCTTTGGCGAGAAGGGCTTCAGGCAAAGGACCCCCTGTCTGTTGTGTCGGGGAAAGGAGCCTTTCCCTCAGAAGCACCTTACTCCTGTTTCTTGCTCTGTAACTATGATCATGGCTGTATGTATCTTTCTTTCTTTCCTCACTACCTAACAGGAGGGGCTTTTAAAAGATCTCTAGCATGCCTGAAGTGGAGTCAGCTGGCCCTAATTGATTCAAGGTAGCTCTGTCTCAGCTGACCCCTAATCTGCCTGAAACAGCTCTTTGTCAGCTGCTCCTAATTTGCCCACTCCTTGTTAACAAGGGAGTTGGCTTTTTTTCTCCCTCCTGGGGCTGCCTTTCTCCCACTCTATTGCAGCCCTCTGACCTGACCTTGTCACACCTTAGGGACATTGTTATACAATGATAATGATATGGATCACACAATACCTTTATTTCCCAGTGCAACAGCCTTCACCTAGGCTATGTCTAGAATGGCATGATTTTCCGGAAATGCTTTTAATGGAAAAGTTTTCCATTAAAAGCATTTTCGGAAAAGAGCATCTAGATTGGCACGGACGCTTTTCCGCAAAAGCACTTTTTGCGGAAAAGCGTCTGTGCCAATCTAGATGTACTTTTCTGCAAAAAAGCTCCAATCACCATTTTCGCGATCGGGGCTTTTTTGCGCAAAACCAATCTGGGCTGTCTACACTGGCCCTTTTGTGCAAAAGTTTTGCGCAAAAGGACTTTTGCCCGAATGGGAGCAGCATACATGAGATCGTCAGTGCTTTTGTGGAAATTCAAGCGGCCAGTGTAGACAGCTGGCAAGTTTTTCCAGAAAAGTGGCTGATTTTCCAGAAAAAGTGGCCAGTCTAGACACAGCTCTAGACTCACCAAGGACTGACCCTAGAACCAGCAGAGGTGAATGTCACAGTATGCCCACCAAGAACTGAATTACACCAGCTCTGCTGCTCTCCAGACAAATTTCTTTCCTTTTCCCATGAACTGCATACTCCTCCCCTGCTGCTCCTGAAATATCTTCCCAGTTCCTGCATTCTATGCAGCCCTTTGTTCCTTCAAAACCTTGCTCCACAATGACTTGGCTTGAGTCATCAATGCTCAATATTCTACATTTTGAAAAGAATTATAACAAAATAAGATAAAACAAAGAATTAGCTTTTTTTGAAGATAAGGAACTTCATCACCTTGTTTGATGAATGCCTCCCCATTCTCCAGCTTGGTCTCATGTGTCTCATATAAGCTCAATGTTAAGTTCTTGGGGATATGAACCGTGCCTATTGTGGCCTTTGTAAGGTAGCATGGACTCATGGGATATACACAAATATTGACAGTAAGAGAGATTACTGAAACTACACAACCTCCGATTTTAAGAGATGATTTTAAAGCATATACAGATGCACCAAGTTGATGCACTAGGTCTGACAGGATGAATACTGGCATAACTCTATTAAAAGTGAAGCTACATTGATTCACAACAGTTATGAACCTTAGGTGAAATCTTGGTCCCATTAAAACAATGGCAACGTTTCCGTTAACTTCAATGGGTGGGGCTCATTGAAGACAATTCTGTTCACCCCCCACAGAAGCTCCCTTCTTATTATTTTCCATTCCATTCCCTATAATGCTCCATAGATGTCTCCATTAAGAATCAAATTGGGTTGGTCACAAACCTCCTAGGTGATAAGTAAGGATAGATTTTACTGCATTTAAGAGACATATATTTTGTTGTTGTGCAACTCCTTACATTCCAAATCACTTTTATTCTCTTTCTCTCTTCTAGATTGATTACACTGGTTGTGGAATTAATCCTGCCAGGTCTTTAGGTTCAGCTTTGGTTGCCAGAAACTTTACTAATCACTGGGTAAGTCCAAATCATTTGTTCCACAGGAATTTATTCTAGGGACAAAAACTGAAGATGAAGTTAATAAGGATTATTAAGCATCGATGTGTATACCTATAGCTAAGATTTTTGGACAAGAAGTATTGTAAAAGTATGTTTGCAGCACAAACATACAAACTTTAAAAGCTATTGAGCCAATAATATAATACATCATTCAATAAACATAGCATTGTTTCAGTGCATGAAATAATTGCATGCAAATCACAAACTTCTCAATATTATCCCTTATTCAGTATTATCCCATTTATCTTACTCTGAACATTCTTTTAGATTTGAACTGACTTGTTGCAAAGTTCTGGCCAAGTACTCAATAGTCAAGTTGTGTTTCTGAGCTGTGATTGGTCAACCACAGTAGGAGCACCCCTAGACTTAGTAGATCCTTCAAGGTATTTATGCACCTAAATCCCATTGAAAAAAATGGCAACCAGTCATCTAAATACCTATGAATACATGAAGGCTTTGACCCCATTCAGGAAAGCACTTTAAGCTCATGAATAACTTTAAGCACATGAGTAGTTGTTTTGAAGTCAATGGGACTATTCATGTGGTCCAGGTTAAGCATCTACTTACATGCTGTCCTGGATCAGGGTATTGGAGAGTAAGGGTTATTTTGAGGGAAGGGTTTTATCTTGAAATAACCCCATTTTTTTCTCTCAAAATAGAGCTATTTCGAATTAGTGTCATAACGCGATTATGCAAGTGAAGTGCAGGATATTTAAATCCCCGCTTCATTTGCAGTTTCGGGTGTCTGCATTTGCATTCCTTGAGAGAGGAATGAAATGTAGACATACCCTTTGAAAATAGTTATTTCGAAATAGAGGTAGTGTGGAAGCTCCGTTGCTGCTATTTTGAAATAACTACTCCCCAGAGTCATTCAGAGTAATTACTCCCCAGTGCTTCCTGGGTCTCTAATTCAAGGCAATGCATCCACATAAGGAAGCCTGGCTTGGACTAATTTTGAGGCTTCTCTGTAGTTGGGACAGGCTATTTTGAAATAGTTATTCTGGGAGTTATTATTTCAAAATAAATTATTTTGAAATAATTTCCTAGTGTAGATATGCTCTAAGTATGTCCATTTTAAGGCACAGGATAAGCTGTTAGGGTATGTCTACACTACCCCGCTAGTTTGAACTAGCGGGGTAATGTAGGCATACCGCACTTGCAAATGAAGCCCGGGATTTGAATTTCCATGGGTTCCCAAACTGGGGGGCATGAAGAAATTCCAGGGGAGGCATGAGGCAACCCAGCCCACCTCCCCAAGTTGTGCTGCTATTTTTGTTACTTTTGTTTTTTGTCCCCTCTTTTTTTTTTTTTTTCTTTTTTTTTGGCTCAACAAGTTTTGCTGCTATTTGGGAGTGAGGGTTTCTCAAAAATCAAAAAGGGTGGTATGATGCCAAAAAGTTTGGAAACCACTGGTCTAGACGTTCTCTTTCGAAAAAGCATAGTTTGCATTCAATAGCACCTTTTTTCGTAAAATGAGGTTTATCGCGATCGAAAAAACTGCCACGTACTTTCGATTTATTTTCAAAAGAACGTGGAATCAGTCTAGATGCAGGTGAAGTTTTTTTTTTAAAAAAGTAGTCTAGACACACCCTTACTGAGAAACATCCAAAATGTTTTACCAGAATGTGCCTAATTTTAGATATTCAACCACCCTGGCAATATTACCCTAAATGACTGCTCAAAATGCACAGCAAGTCATCATCAGAACCAAGATTAAAACTCTGGAGTTCCTGGTTCCCGGGTCCCCCACAAAATCCATTATATGACTATTTCTAGGTCTAATCCAAACACAGGTTGTTTCCAAACACAGGGAGGAGGGATAGTTCAGTGGGTTGAGCATTAGCCTGCTAAACCCCAGCCTCTGAGTTCAATCCTTATGGAGGACACTGAAGGAATTTGAGACAAACATTTGTTAGGGATGGTACTTGGTTCTGCTGTGAATGCAGAGGTCTAGACTTACTGACCTTTCAAGGTCCCTTCCAGAGATAGGCAATCTCCATTAATTTATTTCCAAGAATGGCCCTCTAGAGCAAATGGGTATTTTGGGAAGCACTGAAAGAATTACCCACCTTGCATGTTGTATTTCAGATCTTTTGGGTGGGCCCAATCCTGGGAGGTGCAAGTGCCTCCTTGATCTACGACTTCATCCTGGCTCCTAGAAGCAGTGACCTGACTGATCGTATGAAGGTCTGGACCAGTGGCCAAGTGGAAGAATATGAACTGGATGGCGATGACATTAACACAAGGGTGGAGATGAAGCCAAAATAAAGAAGAATGCAGGGAATGGAACAAGTGTTTCTGGAGATGTTATCACTATTATAGACTCTTTGTAAACAAATAAGCAGTACTTCCGGGAGGTTTTTAATTCACTAGGGTTTTCCATTTCCTTGCCCCCTTTCATGCTAGCCTTTTCTATCTGGCTTTTAAGTACAAAGGAGATGAAGCCAAAATCATTAAACACGTGCGTGTGAGCTAGTGGGTGAAGTTAAAATTCTGAATCCCCAGATTTATGGCACTGTATTGAAAGGAATCGGTCCCCCAATGTCTACAGTTATGATGCTAAAGTTCAAATGACCAGTGTAAATCCTGTGACAGTGGAATGCTAAAACACATGATCTTGCTCTGCCCATAATGGGATTTTTACTAGACAGAACGCTTTACCATAAAGTATGAGGCATAATAAGCACAAGAAAAAATTCTCTCCAACTGTGGGTCCAAAAGAATCATTTAGAAATAAATGCATCTAAATGAGTTATTAGTTATATGGAACGTGACTGAGCTTGCTAGACTTCATGCAATCTCTAAAACACTGTACCACACCTGCTCTCAGCAAACGTCAAATTTGCAAGGGCCAGAAACGTTACATCTTTCAATCTTATATTCTCCCTGCACAATCTCAACTGCAGCCAGCAGATTTAAAACAAAATCTGAATTTTCTGATTCCAGGGAACTAATAACAACAAGTCAAATTGGAGAAAAATTACAATGGCCACCAGAACAACAAATTGCCAATATGAAATCAGGATTTGCCTATTCCTGTGGCTAGTCTGCTTTTGTTAATCTTGCATTGATAACTGTGCATCTTAAATAAAACAGAAAAAAATAAAACCCACCCCACTTTGTTTTAGTAGCTTATACTGGGAAATTCAGGGACAATGTAACACAAGGTATGAGTATATTCTAAGTGGGAACAAATAAATATTTTTTGAACCTAAATACATTTTGGGGTTATTTCCTCTTTATATATATATATATATGTTTTATATTAAAAGACTAATAAACTGTTTTGTAAGAAAATAAGAGAAGAAAACAGGAAAAGGATTGTGGTAAAATGTTATGCAAAATAAATGACACTGGACATGCAGGGAAAACTAACACAAAAATCTATAAGACTATTTTCTGTTTTTATTTTTGTGCTACTTATTATTGCCTAAGTAATACCCAGTTGTAGATGGTTGTGTGTACTAACTGCAGACTATATTCAAAGCAGATACATTTTAATATACCTTTCTTCACTTAGATTATCACCTTTAAATAAGACATTAGCCCTGGGGGTATCTATATAAAAGATTGCACACTTTGAATTCACCCAGCCCATCAATTGATATTGCTATGGATCTATTTTCATGTCAATGAAACAGCATTGATTGGGTAGGCAGCCAAAACAGGATTGCAATTGATAGGAAATTGCAGGCAATTCATTTCACGTACAGCACATAAAACTAAAAATGCCAAGAAAATTTGGAATACATTCTCCTTTCTTGCATTCACATTTGGTATATTATCCCATGTATTATCTACGTAAATATGGCATGGTTGGATTTTGGACCAGTTTAGAAATAAATGAAATCAGTTGTATTGATACACTAACTGATCATGACTCTTGATTTTTAACCTGCTATGCACTGCAGTGTAACTTCAGTTTGTAGTCCAATATTTGTGTAAATTAGGTTGTCATGGGATAAGAGGGAAGATCCTTTCATGGATTGAGAACTGGTTAAAAGTCAGGAAGCAAAGGGTAGGAATAAATGGTAAATTTTCAGAATGGAGATGTGTAACTAGTGGTGTGGTAACTAGTGCTGTCCTAGGACCAATACTATTCAACTTATTCATAAATGGTCTAGAGAAAGGGACAAGCAATGAGGTAGTAAAGTTTGTGGATGACACTAAACTATTTAAGATAGTCAAGACAGAAACAGACTCTGAAGAACTTCAAAAAGATCTCACAAAACTGAGTGATTGGGCAACAAAATCGCAAATGAAGTTCAGTAAACTTCCGATAATCCGGCACCTTTAGGACCCAGGGGGTTCCGGAATATCAGATATGCCGGACTATCGGAAGGTGGGGGCTATGAGGGGTCTGACGTGGCATCCCCCCCTCCCCAGACCCCTTATAGCCCCCGCTTCTGATAGTCTAGCATATCTGATAATTCGGCACCCCCGGGTCCCAAAGGTGCTGGATTATCGGAAGTTTACTGTATTTGGAAAAAGGCAAATGTAGGGCCCATCTTTAAAAAAGGGAAGAAGGAAAATCCAGGGAACTACAGACCAGTCAGCCTTACCTCAGTCCCTGGAAAAATCATGGAGGGGATCCTCAAGGAATCCATTTTGAAGCACTTGGAAAAGGGGAAAGTGATCAGCAATAGTCAACATGGATTCACTAAGGGCAAGTTGTCCTTGACCAATCTGATTAGCTTCTATGATGAGGTAACTGGCTTTGTGGATATGGGAAAGTCAGTGGATGTGATATACCTTGACTTGAGCAAAGCTTTTGATATGGTCTCCCACAATATTCTTGCCAAAAAAATTTTGTGCCAAATTTTTATCTTTTCTGGCAGGATAAAAGAGGGCATGTTTTCTTGCTCCATATCACTTTTAAGGCCACTTTTACTTTGTACAACATGTATTACCCATATACTACACATATTGTTACTATTAGAATGCTTTTGTTACATGTTGTGATTCCTTGCTATGGTGTAAACAATTTATTAATGGAGACCAAATACATTTTATATTTTCTTGGCTCAGCCTTTCCAGCTGAGCCTTTGAACTTTTTTCTTTTTAAAAATAGCTTTACCTGCCTGATACTTTCCTTTTGTAAATTGCAACTGACATTTCTTTTTTTTTTTTACATTTTTAAACTGCAATTTTTATATTTAAGCTTTGAACAAGGTGGGGGTTTTGTTTTTGGTTTTTTTTACAAGTGAGAACTTTTTGGTGTGGGCAATGTTTTGTTTTACTGCTGCTTTTACTCCCTTACTTTAATTCTATGGCGCAGCTGATTGCTACACTTAAATTTCTGACAGGCAGTATTTTTTTAAACTTACTAGGTGTTCCCTTTACACACACACACACACACACACACACACACACACACACACTTTTTTATTAACTATCTGTTGTTTGAGCTGATTAATGCCCTTATGCCATACTTAATAATGTTTTACAAAACTGTATGCAGGTTACATACCTACTAGTATATCTGGAAGCAGATGATCCATACCAAAAGTTTCAGTGGTATTCAGCAGATCTCTCTTGTGTTTTTCAGAGTATTCTTATTCCTTGCCTCCATACAACTCTCTGGAGTTCCTTTCTTCACTTAGTCCCAGTCTCCTCCTAATACTTCTCTGAGGAGTCCATAAGATCCACCCTTAGATTTAACCCACTACTCCAGAATGATACCATCTTCTTCATAGTTCAATCCTTAACCCCTTTCATTGCCTTTCTCTCAATGATAGGCTGTGATTTTTACACTGAGGCCAGGTCTATATTAAAGGGGAAGATTGAATTGAGATATGCAACTCCAGCTACATGAATTACATAGCTGGAGTCGACATACTTTAATTCAAGTTTCCTCACCATACCCATAGCGGGAGTCAGCCTCTCTTACTCCTCACAAGATCACGAGTACTGTTCTTATGTTCTAAAGTGTGGTGATAGTTATGTTTGCCAATTCTTGGAGGAATTGTCTCATAGTCAGAGTTTGCACTGCACATAAGACAGTGGAGACTTGAGTTGGATTGGGGCCTTACATGCTACAGAATAATAAATAATAATAATTAATAATGTATCAGAGTAAAACATTATAAAGTTTCATATGTCGTGTCAGAGGGACAGAGGCATTAATTGCTAGAGGCATCTGTGGGAAACGAGACAGAGAAAAGCAGGAAGTTAGATCAATATCACCTTTAACCTCCAGGATTCATTGGCCAGATTAGCCGGGTAGATGCACAGAGGTGGGATAAGCTGTTCAAACAGGACTGAAGAAACTTATTCATGACTCAGAGCAAGGGGTAGCTGAGGATGAATTCTAACTCCATGAGTCACAATTTGTTTTCTGGTCTGCTGGTTGCTTAGCACAGGATGCAAAGTACTGCCTGGGCCCTGAATATATAAAACTAGGCTGCAAAGCCCACATCCCTGCAGATATTTACTCCCATTGGCCTTCTCCACTTTGAGACAAGGACTTTCTCTTTCTATTTGGTGTACAGCGTGCCTAGCACACATTGGGTGCCAGATCTTGGGAAGGATTCCTAATATTATCATATGAATACAAGACTTTTTAGTAGGAAAAATACCCATTTCACCAATGCAAATCTTGGCACCTTCTCCTGATGAGTTTCCTTGCATAGGGTTCATTGCTGGCACATCAGTGTACATGAATCTGTGTTCTATGATCTGAGGAAGTGGGTCTGGCCCACAAAAGCCCGTCACCTATTAAACCATCTTGTTAGTCTTTAAAGTGCTACATAGTTTTTCCTTCTGTTCTTTATTGTTACTAGTGTTATGAATGTCTTCATTCCATGCAACAGATTTTGCATGTATTGCAAATCCTCAGAACAGCCCCTTGCATGGTATGGCGAGGGTTGCCACCTGGCTGGGTTTTGTACTCCTTTTTTAGTTAACAGATTAACACACAAGGGATGTTCTGCCCTGTGCCTCCCTGAGGGTGAAGTGGGAAGAGAAACTACCAAGACCCCAGCCTGCTTGGGAAGGCCTGGCTGCTTTCCCCTCCCTCCCAGCATGCTCTGGGGTCAGGTAGGCCTTCTTGTCCCTGTGTTGGCAGCAGGTGGGTGAGTTTTTTGTGACTGGGCCACCCGCATTGCCAGCAGTTGATGAGTTTGACAGGGCCCCAGGGAGCAGTGGTGAGTAGCAGGAGGTAAGAGGCAAAGAGGCCTACAGCTATCCCAGCTCCTCATGTGCTGTTTGTGATGGAGGGTTGGTTATGCTGCTGGGGTGCGGGGTAGAGTCTGCTGGGGGACATCTAGGAGAGGAAGAAAGAACAGGCTGCTGCTGCGGCTGGTGGGGATACAACGGCTGCTTTTTCTGCTTCTCAGAGGAGGCAACACTACTAAGCCCCAGAGGGATGCACAAAAGAGGGAGCAATCTCAGCCTGATCCAGTGAGCATGATCAGACCTCACCTCCTGGCCTGGGGCCCCATGGCACAAAAGGACAACAGGAGGAGCCCTGGGTTAGGACTTTTAGCTCAGTGATCAGGGTACTCAGCTGGGATGTAGGAAGCCCCAGGTTCAAATCTCCACCGTGAGGGGAAACGGGATTTGAGGAGGGATTTGATGTCTCTTGGGTGAGTGCCCTGACTAAGGCCAGCCTTAAGACTGAGGGGGCCCTAGACAAAACTATTAAACGGGTGCCCCTGTGCCCATTGGCAGCCCAGAGCAGCAGCAGGATGACTTTTGTAGAGATCTGATTTTATAATCTTCAGCAACACACTCTTGAAATATTTTAAAGCAAATTTTAAATGAATGTCCTGTGAACTAACATGGTAAATTCGGAAACCGACAGGATTGGGAAATGCCTGTTCAATGGCTTCATTACCACTGGAATGGCTCTGTCACAGGTTCCATGTCCTGCTAATAGGCCTGGCAGGCTTTTTCACTTTTAAGTTCAGTAGATCCTCTCCGGAGGAAGCAGAGTCACAGACCAGGGACAGGAACAGAGATTGGTGGTTGGACAGTGGTACCCCAAATTTTCAGTCTCCCTATGCAGCTGCGCATTCTGTGTATGAGTAAGGAGGGTTCTGGCCCTGGCCGATGGACTGTGGATCCATGTTGGGGGAGGAGAGGCTCCCTTTGGCTCTCCTGTTGAAGCTTTTAATTTGTGGGGAAATACTTTTTAAAAGTCACTGCCACCGTGGAGCAAACCCAGATGCTGCCAGGAGTGCTATCCCTGTCCAGCTATACAATCATTCTCACTCTCTT